AGGGGAAACGGGCCGCCGTACCGTGCGGCGGGAAGGGCAGGGGTTTGGAGGAAGGCCGGGGCTAAAGAGGAAGAGCTGCCAGGTCCGGGCTGGGTTGCCCTGGAAAAATCCGTGAACGCAACGGTCCTTGGGACTTCATCTCCTGGGTCTCTTGGTCCTGCGGGGTCAGGTTCCGGGGGTGAAACACCCCACGGAACATTCCCTTTACCGTCGGAACTGTACGCGTTGTGAGGCATCTGAAGCAGCTGCTTCATGTCCGGTGTTCGATCCGGTAAAGCCTGAGAGTCGCCGCAAATCAGCCTTAAGACTTGCAGCACATCCGGGTTGCTGCCCGGCTGAGAGCCGTCCAGACACCTTCTAGCTTCGACCCTGAGGTCTTCGAGGGTTTGGAGGGCTCGACTCCCAGTGAGAGGGACTGCTGAGTGGTCTCGATAAGCACCATCGAGGGCCTCATCCAGAGTCTCTCCTGACACCATCCTCTGGACAACTCCCGGGAGGAGTTGGGAGGCACTAGGCAGAAGAATCGAGGGTGGGGCAGGCCCGCTGTCACTTTCCAGGGGAAGTTGAACCCCGGAAGTTACGGAAGGATCCGATGGCTTAGGCTCAGGCGAAGTCTTGGGCTTCCGCTCCTCCTTGGCTCCATGGAGCCTGCAGAGCTTGACTCCACCCTTGGTGTGGTATGGAGTTTGCAGGCACCCCTCTACTGAGCAGGTTCTTCCTTTCAGGGACGCTTGATAGATGGCCCGGTGATAGTCGCAAAGGGCGACCGCGTGAGTGCCATCTATGAGCTTCTTGAGGCCTTCCTGGCAACTGACAATCTCATCTGCCTTCAGTAGGGGCTCTGGCTGATGTCGGGCTAAGTCCCTACAGGGTTCCGTCGCCAAGGGCTTGGCATTGGGAGTACCGAGGTCCATGCCCACCTGATCAGCCTGGCATGTGTTTCCTTCCTCTGCTTCGGACTCGGTCTCTGAGTCTTCATGCCTGGGGCCTGCTCCCTCGGCGCCTGGGCGCGAACCGCGCCTCGGGCTCCTTCGGCAGCAGATGCCACACAGAGTTCCGCAGATCAACTTACCTAAACGCCTTGTGGTTTGCCGGAAGCAAGAGCACCACAAAAGCCCAAAAAACCAAGTAAGAATGGCGCACCGGGCCCAAGGTCCCCTGCCGGCCAAATCCTGAAGGTCCAGCTCCTGGACTTGTGGTACCACCGCGCTGGTGCCCACGTGAATTGCCGGTTCTCCTTCCGCGGTACATGGCTGATGGGCGCACAGGTGGATCCGACACTCTGAGGCTTCAATAAGGTTCCGGAAGTACCGGTGGGATGAGGCCTTAACCTCATCGCACGCGCAAATGAAGCCGTGCCGGTTGGTCCGGCCCCGTACGGTCCCGTGGCGGAGTCTGGCAATCGCCGTACCATCCGTAATCAGGAGATCGTGCGGTAGACGATTGAGGCCCCTGCCTCTAACCTCTGATTGCACGTATGCAACGGACCACGGTTCTCCAGCACATGGACCTTTCCAGTTAGGCCTGAATGGCCTTTCTCCCAAAAGTCGCGAGACCTCACTCCAGGGCGCGTCTCCCCGGAAGTACCGGACCAATGCTCTGGAGTGCACAACGATTGGGAAGACAACCCAGGTGTACGTCCAGACGCCCAGCTGCAGCAGGAATACCCCAACTATTCCGACCATGAGCCAGTACGTCCAGCGAACCGCAAATAAGATTGATGAGCATAACGGGCCACAATATTGCTGTGCATACACCTTGCAGAGGTCCCATATCGGAAGGACTCTCTGGACCATAAGGTCCCAGAGAAACGCTTTCCAGCTTTCCCAACCGCTAGGTTCCTCCGGTGTGGAAGTGGTACCGATAAGCTCTGGTTCCTCGGCCTCCATCCATGCTCCCACGAAGGGTAGCCAGGACAGGTCCGGGACCGAAATCAGTCCTCGGACCCCCCAAAGGTCAGGGACTTCACTCGGTTCCTCTATCGCCGGGAACGGGGTTGTGGTGGTAGTGGAATTAAAAGACTTCTCCAGCGTACTGGCCGTAAGCAAGGCCGCGCCTGCTATGGCCCTCGCGGGAACCCACACCATCACGCTTTGCGGAGTCCCAGGCTACCTAAAAAACTAAGCTACCTTGAGCCTAAACGTGCGGTGAGACAGAGGTGAAACCCTACGCACACTACGCTGTACTAACCGATTTTTTATAAAAACCTATAACAAAGATTAACAAAGTAACTTAAACAAGGAGCAACATTGGAGCTAATAGGGAATAAAGGCTTAAGGGTCTCGTGGTTGAGCGGTTCCAAGGGGTTTTCGAATGCAAGGCTCCAGGGAGGCTTGAGGTATGGGCACAGGGTTTAGGGCTCTGGGGATTCAGTGTGTTGCACCTAAGCATACCGTCAGACCCAAGCAAAGACACCCGAAGGCACCGCGGTTGTAGCTGAAATACCCATCCAGCAAGCTAGACTCTAAACATGCGAGAGCCCTCAACTCTGAAGATCCTACCCGGCTAAACCTCATACCCCAAAAATCCCCAAACCGAAGCATCCTTGCCCCCGTGCCTGCACCGCTTTCCGCGAAAGAGGGGCGCCAACCGAACCACGCGTGCCAGTGCCTCTGGGCTTCAGGCGTTAGACTGGCGTGGACTGGGTAGAAAGGAGATGTGAACATGACGAGAGCACAAGAAGAGCACGATAAAAAGCAGGAGCGCAGTGAATCCTAGACCCTAAACCCGAATCCGCGAATCGTCAGTCGCAACAGGTCGACACAACAACGAGCACCATGTTTGCCAATGCCAGCGGAAGCAGTCGAAACAGTCGCAGTTGGTGATGGTGTTGCTGGTGGCAGCCCTGCAAAACTTGGACATGCTTCCGGCGGCTTCTCTATCCGTCGGTGGCGGCGCAGCAGCAGCAGGAGCACATGGCGACTAACGGGCGTGCGGCTATCATTCCTGAGCCTTACTTAAAGCCCGAGCCTGAAGCCTGCAAACTCCAAACCTTCTTAAGAAACCCAGTGGATAATAAAGCTAGGCAACCAAATCAAGAAAATAAAATCTGTTGCGCCTCGCGTTCGTGAGGCGCGTCACCGATGCTGATGATATTCTTCCAGGACCTAGGCTTTTGAAGTTTTCGGGTCTTCGGGAGGCTTAGAGTGCAGGGTGGTATGCTACAAGAGTTTCAAGCGTTTCACCAAGATTTATGCGGAACTTCAGCAGCTTTGTCGGGGAAACTGTGGGGTGTCCATAGAGAGACTGGTTAAGGTTCTGAAATGGACAAGTTGGGGGGGCATTCTTGCTGAGGAGCTGAACTCGAGTCACAACAATGAAGTTGTCATCTATCTACAATAGATCCCTGAGGTGACTGAAGTTTACACTTACTGAAAAAGATCCCAGCTAGGCTACAGTAGTGGGCCTGGGGCTTTTGGTTTAGGGCCTCCACGGGGGGGTAAGGGTTTTGACACAGAAGCTTACACAAAGAAGCTCGTGAAAAATGATACTGCGAGTAGCTGCAGGAAGTAGGCCAAAGGCAGCAAGTCCGAGGATCCATTGAGTTTAGGGGCGATTGCACCTCTACAAAGCGAAAGAACACGTGGAGTGGACGCGCTTTCATGGTAAGCATATTCGAGAACCCTAAAAAAAGGCCCTAAACCCTCAAGCCCCAAGCCCTAAAACCCCAAACCCTAAAGCCCTAAACCCTAAAGCCCTAAACCCGAGGCCCTAAAAACCCCAAGCCCTAAACCCTTATCCCTAATCCCATCATATTCGACAACCCTAAAAAGAAAGGCCCGAAACCCTAATCCCTAAATACTAAACCCTAAACCCTTATCCCTAAGCCCCATCATATTCGAGAACCCTAGAAAAAAACCCTAAACCCTAAAGCCCTAAGCCCCAAAACACCCTAAGCCCTCAAGCCCTAAACCCTAAAGCCCTAAACCCTAGGCCCTAAACCCTAATCCCTAAACCCTAATCCCTAATCCCCATCATATTCGAGAACCCTAGGAAAAAAGGCCCCAAAACCCTAAAGCCCTAAGCTCTAAAACCCCAAACCTTAGAGCTCTAAACCCCAAACCCTAAGGCCCTAAACCCCTAAACCCTAAACCCCTAAACCCCTAAGCCCTAAAAGCCCTAGTATCTGGGCCCTCCGCTGATTTGGGTAGCGCTGGTAGAAGCGTTCGATCACATTCTCGAAGGCCCGGGCCTCCCACTTGACTGTCTGGTTTAGGGTTTAGGGTTTAGGGTTTAGGGTTTAGGGTTTGGGGTTTAGGGTTTAGGGTTGAGGGTTTAGGGTTTAGGGTTGAGGGTTTGCCGTAGCGTTGCGCATAAGCGGAATGATCATGAACCAGCGTAATTTCGAGTGCGTCGTGCTATGACGATTGGCCGTTAAAAGCCTGATTGTGGATGGCTCTCTCTTTAAAATCTCCCACCCCACGCCGTCTAAGGCGGCCAAACCACCCAAACCTACTCCTTTTAGGGTTTTGCACCTAAACTCATTCCTCGGTTTTCTTTCTTTTCAAATCGCAAGACAGGCAAGCAGGGCAGGGCAAGGCAAGGCAGGGCAGGGCGGGGCGGGGTAAGGGCAAGGGCAGCGGGCAAAAGGCAGCGCAGAAAGTGCTTTTGAACACAAGGCAGACGTCGAATTTGGGACATGGCTGCCGACGAGGTGCTAGTGATCAGCAGTTGGGCAGGCCCACAGGTGCAGCGTGGCAGACATGGGAGGATCTGCGCTTTCAATGACCTTCAGATTCGAGCCGATGCCTGCCAGACAGAGGGATTGTTTGCAACTGATCTGTCGACGGCAAGCCGGAACGACAGCCCAGTTTTTCTCGCTAGCACGACGCCTTTCAGAAATCCACTCCCTCGGTTGCCGTACCGTATACGGCTGTGGCAGCGACAGCAAAAATAACTACAAGCTACAAAGGACTAGGATGCTGCGTCTACTCAGGACAGGGAAGCAGCTGGTGTCCAGAAGAGCAAGGACCGCACTGCACGAACCTCTGAATGGCTGCTCAAACTCCTGAGGCTGGAGTGAAGTGATGCCTCGTGACATGCCCCAAGAAACGCCAGTTCTGGTCGTATTGGACCCGGGACAGCGCCGCGGCTTCCACGTTGGGGACGTCCAGCCACACTGTGATGTGCTCGAGGGTCGCCCCCTGGATCTTCTGCAAGGTCGTGGCGTACCCGAGCCGGAGCGGCAAGTAGGTGACTCGACGCCGCTCCCCTGCGATGAAGATCTCGTCGTCCGTGTAAGGAAACACCGAAATGACGTCGCCGCAGTGCGTCTGGACCAAAACCGAAGACCGCTGCACAGCAAGCACGACAGCCCGCATGCCGTTGACGAAGTTCTGCTCCTTCTGCACGTTCCGGGTAAGGGTCACTCGCATGCCCACATAGATAGGGAGATGAAGCGGCTGACAATCCACGAGCTGGCCGAAGCCGTCGTAGTTGTCCACGTTGCTTTCGTAGTCTCCGGGCACGAAACAGAGCGGCTCGGCATCTCCGTAGAGGGCCCGGACGGCGAGGTCGTTCAGCAATGCGGAATTGCGGCGGGTGATCGTCAGGAACAAGGTTTGCGGTGTCTCCTGCAGCATGCCCTGGACGTCGAGCTCCGTCGGTTCGGGGCTCACTCCAGGACCACGATCCGGCATGGCCCGATGCCCGCGCAAGAGGCGAAGCAGCTGCTCTTTGGACGGCTTGGTGGTGCGCAGCAACTCCAGCTTCCAGCGCAACTCAGGACATTTGCACCGCCGCATCGTCTGCAGGTGGCGCTTGACCACGTGTTGCCAGCGAGGGCTGTCGGAAGCCCGGGTAGGATCCATGCCACGTAGCTGGTGAAAGTCGCCAACGAACACCAGGGCCGGGCGGCGTTCGGCGTTGTCCCAGAGCCAAAGGATGCGTTCGAACGTGGTCCGGGAAAGTTGACCAATTTCGTCGATGACGACCAAGTCAAAGCTGGCCATGCAGTCCCAGGTTTGCTCCTGAGGAAGATGCAACAGGAACATGCCGTGTAAGGTGTCGACATCCAGGCCCGGAAACTTCTCACGGTAAACGCTCGCCAGCACACCGGTGGGACAAGCAATTCCAACGTGGGCGCCAGATTCCGCAGCACGACAGATGGCCACCTCCAGCGCGGTGCTCTTGCCAGATCCGGCCGGTCCCAAAACGCAGAACGGCTGCAGGACCTGCGGAGGCGAGCGGCGCGTGCGATCGAGGAAGTCGTGCAGCTCGACGGGGTCTGCTGCCTCAGGGTACCGACGTTCCAGGGCCCAGTGCAGCATGTTCCGCACGTGCTCCACCACGGCTTGCTCCGGATCCAGCTCCCCGCGGTAGCCAACTTCGGGGGCGGCGAGGAGCTCGGGCTGCGGAGGTAGGTCGACGTCCAGCACCAGTTGGCCGGAGAGATATAGGCATCAACGACCGCGGTGCGCCCCTCCAGCATGTTGAGGACGTTGCAGACGTGCGCATCCTTGTGGCCTTCCAGCTGCAAGTCACGCTGCACATCGTGGGGACGACGCCAGTAGCCGGGACGATGTAGCAAACACAAGGCCAGCATCCGGTAGCCCTCCGGCACTTTAGCCGCCCGCTCGTCCCATAGATCTGCAAGCGAGCGAAACGGGACGTTGAGCACGAGCCACTGGCCGAAGAAGCTGTCGCGCAGCGGCGAATGAAGTGTGGCTGCCACGAGAACCCGGCGCTTGTTCTTCCGCTTCGCCCCAGACTGGTTGCATTGCCGCAGATACTCCAGGAATGTGCAAGTCTCCGATCGCCACGCGCAGGACATGTACAGGGACTCCCAACGGCTTGGAGGGCACCCGTCCCAAGGTGGGCGCACGACCACGCGGCGCAGCACACCGGTTTGAAGCACCTGCCGAAACTGCTGGCCGGCAAGTTGGAGCCACATCTCGGGCTCAAGGGGATGGTACTCCATGAGCACTTTCCGCGCCAGATTTGGAAATCTGTTGCTTCCTCGTTCAGCCAGCTCGTGGCGAACTGGTCGCTGAACTTCGCCGTGTAAGTGGATGCATATTGAAGCAGCAGCCCACGCCCATCGCCCATTTGCACGTCCATGTGACATTGCAGGGCCCCCAGTACGTCGGGCAAGTACGCACGAACATGTGCTGCGTGCGCGTCCGCCGGATGGTAGAGTTGCAAGACACCATGCAGCATCTTTGTCGAAGAGCGTCGGTGCATCTCTGCGGGGCCAGGCGCTGTCTTCCCAGTCAAGCTGCGAACCGTGGACGAGGTCGTGCAGCTCTGGCTCCATCGTAGCGTCGGGAATGTCAGCTCGCACAATGCGAGGCCAGTCGATGCTGTCGGCAGCCTGGAGCCAGATCAGAAGGTGCAGATGCACGCGCCCCGACCCATGGTAGGACTGGCCGGGGCCCACGTGGCGTTTGCGTTTGCCGTCTTGGAATTCCAGGCGACCGAATATTTCCACCACCGTGGCACCGGCAATGTTGCTGCCGGCCAAGACGTGCCGATCCCACTGTCGCCGTGCGTCGGCTGTTTGTTGTCGGTTGGTTCCGGCCAAGAGGCCCTCGGCAATCTGAAAGAGCAGGTGGGCGAGGTGGAAGGTCTCTGCGGCCGGAAGGTCCGTGCGGCAACGACATGCTTTCAGAAGTTCGTCTTGGAGCCAGCGATGATATGGTGCCGAGATCTCCACAACGGGGCCACGGTTATGAACATGGACGGAAAGCCGATCTGGCGAGCACAGTCTACGAGGCCGGCGTGGACATTTTGCCAATAAAGCGGCGAGAAGCTTCTCCCGGCCAGAGCACCACGATTCGAAGGGTCGTCGGCGCTGCGTTCCGAGCACCGCCGAGAGAGCTCCACAGCCACAAGTCGTACACGAATTGGGCGAGGTCGCGATTGGTGCCGTAGCCGATCACCGCCGAGAAGACCTTCGCTATGAAGCTGGCCTTGGCGCTCTGGCGTGCGGCAGGCGCCGGGCCTGGGTCATCCGCTTCCGACTCTTCCTCCTGAGCACTCGCAGCTTCGAGGTCTTCTTGCATGTTGAAGGGCCGGTCAGCTGGCTCCATCATGGCGAAGTCGTCGCCCGGGTCATGGCCGCCCGGAGCTGCGCGAGCCAAGCGCCTGGCATCCACGCTACGGACGTACGTCTCGCACATTGTGCGATTCCAATAGAGATGGGGCCAAACCGCAGACTCCAGTCCGATGGTTTCCATAAAGCGAATTGGCAGCCAGGGCACAGGGGTTGTGGCTTCCAACTCGCCCTGATCCAGCAGACGCTGCCGGTGCCGGAAAAATTCGTCATGGCACCTCAAGAAGTCTCGGTAGGGGCAGTCCTCAGCGGCGATCAACCACGCGTAGGCAGCACGCCCACGACGCCACGCTGCACGAGGGAGCGTGCTGAGACGCTCTTCCACAGACATCGGCCTCCAGCTGAAGCGCACACAACTGGTGTGCACCCAGTAACCTTGGGGCGCCCTCTCGGCAGGGCCCGTGTAGACGTCGAGAATAGCCAATGCTGCCAGGACCTCTTCAGGCAACTTCCGTAAAGGTTCAGGTACGTCCGCAGGTCTCGGCACCCAGTACCCGTTTCCAGCAGCACAGTGTCCGCACGCCGAGAGACTCGGTTGGAGGCGTGCGCAAGAGCGCAAGTGCTTCGGCTCGAACGGCTGCGGGGCCATGCGGTCGCATTGCCGGCAAATGCGCCACGACCAGTTCTGCGCATAGCTTGAGAAGGCCTTGGCCAGCTCCGTTTGCCACTCAGCTGCTGGCCGACCGTCATCGGCGTAGACGGCTGGAAATTTCCGCTGCAAAGCTCGCCGTTGGCTCGCACGGCCTCTCTCATTTGCAGTCAGTGTGTCCGAGGACGGCGCACATTGCGCCTGGCGGGAGTCGAGAAGCGAAGCCCAATCGGCGGGATCTTCGCCGCGACGACGTTGAGCTCGAGCTTTGGCTTGCTGCTGCGCACGAGCACTGCGTTCGCGTGCCGTAGCTCCACGCTGTTGCAAGCATCTCTGCAGACGCTGGTCACACTCGGTCCAGGTCGCTGCCCCAGCCATGTCTTGAATGCGTTGGACTGCTTGGGGGAATATGTGGTCCGGGCTATGTTCCCAGAAGAAGGCCAAGGCACCGGTGATGACACCCTTGCCTCGAGAGTTGGACAAGCGTTCGCCAAGCACCTCCTCCGAACAGAACGGGCAATATGCCTGTTGTCGGCTTGGGTGGACCAGTGCGGGCTGGCCCAGGCTGGACACCGAGAAGACGCAAGCCTGCCGCTCTCGATGGGCGCCGACGCAGCCGCCACAGCGCTCCACAGCCTTGTTGCGTGCCATGTGCTGTCCTTCTTCTGTGGCAGCTAGGATATGCTATAGAGATTGAAAGGAGCCAGCAAGCTTGGCTGCGGTGTGGACACAACGGACAACAGGTATACCAGCTGCAGGAAGCTACCAAGATTATGCAGGGGACGCAGTCAAAGTCGAGCAACAGACGGCATACATACAGAAGCTTTTCTCACGAGGCCAAGCTCAGATTGTGAGTCATCTTGCTCTTCCGCTTGTCTCCAGACTTGTTGCTGACAGCCGTCCTAGTCCGCGCGGCGGTGATACGGCCCACGCGGCCCGCGCCGTGGACGAGCGGGATCCCGCCGGCGCAACGCCCGGGCGCAGCGCACCTCCATGTCCGCGCGGGCGGCAGCGCCCAAAGCTGCCTCCACGCGTGCCAGCGCCGACTGCCGCCCAGGCTCGTCCAGAGCCGCAAGCAGGTGTGTGAGGACGCCGTCGTGCCGGTCACCGTAGAGGGTCTGCAAAATGGGAAAGTCGCACAAGTGGCATTGTCGCGAGTCAGCGTCCACAGCTGGGAGGGCGGCGCCGGCGCTTCCACACACACACGGGCTATCAAGCCGCTCGATGCAAGGATCCCGTCCCTCCACGCAGAAGGGGTCCCACTTCAGGCGCAACGCCCAGCCGCGCGCGGCATCGACGGGATCCGGCGCCAAAGGCGCAGCCATGGCGGACCGGAAGCACACTCGATGCGGGGGACAGACGAGCTATGGAAGAGCAAAGACCAGCTCCGGCCACAGCGCCAGTTCCAAGCCAAGAAACGGCATTGCAACAGGTGCACGTGCGTTTTTCAAGCAGACTATAGAAGTTTTTTTTCGCGAGTGGCCGACGACCCTGACGACTGCAGTTTCGAAAGGGACAGCAGTACATTGCTGAAAGCAAGAGACTGTTTGTACAGCGACCAAGAAAGAAAACGAAAGCAAAGCGCCCCGCAAGCGCTCAGTAGGAGCCGCGCACCCTCAGCCGGCGTGGCTGTTTTGCTGCCGGCCCTAACCGCCCTTGCGGACCAAGGCCACTTCGCCGTACATCTCGGCAGGGGTGGTGCAGCGGAGATGGTGTGCATCACGCCGTCCTCCCCGAGCATGTAGACATTCCAGTTGCTGAGGTCGGTCTCGCTGCCTTGAGCTTGGAACAGACGGCGCACTGCATCGTCGACGGTCTCGTTTGCCGCAAGCTCCACAGTCTCCTTCAAGTCCGTGTCATGCACGATCATCCTGCCGTCTGCATTGACTCCTGTGGGGCGGCGAATGGTCAGGACACCATTGGGAGGTTTCAGGGCTGGCGCAGCGGCGGATTTCTTCGAGGACGACGATGCCGATGACGACGGAGAGGACGCACGAGCGCGCTTCTTCTTGTCCTTCTTCTTGGATTTCTTGTCCGCCTTGTCCTTCTTGCTCTTCTTGGCCTTCTTGCTCCTCTTCTTCTTCTTGGCCTTTTTGTCGGAACTGGAAGAGGACGAATCAGTGTGCGAGGGGGCCGGGTCCACGCCGACGCCAGGACCTGCAGCGTCATCCGAGTCGTCTCCACGCACATCTCCGGTGCGCTTCCAGGCGCCTTCGGATTTCTTGCGAGCTTGATATGCCTCGACGAGAAAGGCTCCTGCGCTGGCGGGGTCAGGCGTTCGGGTCTTGAACTTGTCCAGCGCCTGCTGGATGAACTGGTCCACCGGGATTTGGCCTGCCCAAGCGGCCAGGGCGTCCGCTTTGACGAGAGCGTCGAGCGCATGGAGGGCACCGACATAGAGGCAGGCACCGTGCGCTGCGAGAGTGGGCAGGTGCTCGTAGAGGAGCTTCTTGTGAGCCTTGTAGAAAGCAAAGACCTCGGTGAAGGCTGTCTGATGTGACTTGGGGTCCGCCTTGGCCTTTTCAAAGTCCAAACTTTGCAAGTGATCAAGGAACTCCTTGCCAGTGGCGGTGGCGAAAAGGGCAGTGAGCTTCGTTACCGCCGCCTTGGATTTGTCGTCGAGCAAGCGGTCGCCCAAGGTCCGCACGGAGGTTGCCATCATCGAAAAGCCATAGGCGGGACGCCGCGAGAGTTCCGAGGTGTCCGCGTTCAGCAAGGATCGCAGGGATTGCTTGGACAAGAGCTCGATGTCGTTGTCGTCGGAGTAGAGGAAGCTGCCAGAGGCGGAAGCGTAGGGTCGCAACAATTTCTTGACCATCAACTCCCGGCTTCCGCGGGGGCCGACCAGGACATCCAGTCTCCTTGCTCGTAGGCAGAGTAGCCCTTGCCTTTCCCGCGACCCGCCGGCGCGTCGTAGCCCCAGCCACTGCCTTTGCCTTTGTTGGCAGCACCCCAAGCGCCGCTGCCCCAGCTGCCTTTCTTGCCTTTACCAAAGCTGCCACGGGCGCCGAACATGGCGACGAGGCGACGGCTAGCTAGAATGAAGCTGCTACAAGAACAGGTCGTGCGAGCTCGAGCACGCGATGCAAGCAGAGAGCGATGATAGACTTCCTAGCAGGCCAAACGAAGATCTGGGTCCGAAGCGTGTTTCGGATGTGCAAAGAATCAGAGGACGTCATTTGTGCGCACTTTTCGCACGGAAGCGCCATCTGTGCGGTGAGGGACCTGGGACCTACGAGCAAGCTCAGGCGCGGCGAGCTCGCTTCCGGGTAGTCTCCGTCAATGAGGCAGATGCTGGCGCTGGCTGTGCAAGGCGAACCCACTTGACAGCGCCGCGGGGATGAGTGTAAGGGACCGGCTTGGGATACCAGCGAGGATCGTCCATAACCCATGCCCACCACCGCCGGTAGTCGAAAACTTGAAAATCCGCGGGAGTCAGTCCATGTTTGTCGAGGTTGTTGGGCAAGAAGGGGAAGTCTTCATGACGCCCAGCCGCAACCAAAGTTCCGCCAGCATCTCGGCAGGCGACCAAGCGACAATCGATCAGGTCGGCTTCGCCGTAGAGCAAGCCGGTGCCGGCGCAGGCGAGCGCCACGCGGCCGCGGCGGTGGCAGGCCTCGCCACGCATCTCCCAACTCTTCTGCCCGTCGAGAATCATCGACACCCAAGGCTGCCGCACAAGCAGCGCAACCTCCGGCAACGGGGTCGTAGAGGCGGAAGAAGCGGCCATGCGAGCAAGCAGGAATGATACGACTTACTCGAGGACGTTAAGCTGACAATGGCTATCGCATAGAGCAGCATGTGCACATCGGACATGGTCAGCCAAGGCAAGCGGCGAACAAGCAAACACCTAGCCTCGATCGTTTTACGCGGCAGTCTGCGGGATGTGCAGCTGGGTCGAGCGCCCTGTCGGGCGATCTGATAGCCACAGTACCTGTGCAACAGAGAGTCGGCAAGGTATACTCGAAAGCCCCTCGCTACCAACGTACCCTTGAAAGGAGTCAGTTGCATCCAAACGCTCCCTAACAAATAATAGCACCAAGCGTGGAGAACCAGACGACAGCATCCGTGCGCACTTTTGGCATTGAAGCGCCGTCTCTACGGCTGGGAAGCTAGCAGCAAGTTCGCACCGTCAGAAAACGTGCCTGAGCGACTAGGCGCGCCAAGGGTCCTGGTCCTTGCGGGCCGGCAAACCGTGCGCCGCGGCGGTCATCCACGTCTGCTGCCTTGGCTGCGAAAAAGAGCAGGGTGTCAAGTTAATGCAGTGATTATTTTGTAGAGAAACCCGAACCCGGAAAACGACAAAGGAAAAGCGTTACTGAAGCCACTATATCTAAAATAGATTTACTGTTCTTAAAATTAAGGTTTTGAAAAAGAAAGAAAAACAGTGCAAAGTACTTTGCACTTTTGCGCTGAATCCAAGAACGCTGCCCGCTTCACCATTTCGACGACAACCGACAGGACGGGAAACACGTGTATGCTTTCGCGAAGGAAAAACCCAGGCGCACGTGGCGTCGCACGGAAGCGCGTGAATGTTTTGGAGGAGCGTGCAGCACGCAGAAATAGCGCGAAACAGCAAAAAATCTTCCAGGCCTATAGGCGTCTCGCAAGCTCCAGATGGATTTTGAACGAACAGCCGTTTATGCAGCCAAGACGTCTCAAGCGGCGGATAGATCGCTGTTTTTGGCGTTACATTCAAAAAAGCAGCAACGTGGAAAATCGAAGCATTTGAATGCAAAAAACCAAAAGGCACAAGTGAGGTCGCAGAGAAAAGTACGGGGACAGGCAAATCTGGCACTTCAACGTCATAAAAAATGACGCACTTTTTGGAGTAGTGGCGGCGGCGGTAGCTCTGCCGCTTACCTGGCAGCACACTGTTCGCAAAACGCCGCAAGCGAGCACGCCAAGGAGCGACCAGTGGCGCCGGACACGGTTCAAAGAGCGTCCGGCGCCGGCGCCGCGCCGGACAAAGTCCAGACAGCGTCCGGCGCCCCTGTCCGGGGCCACTTTTTGGACCCTGTCCGGCGCCAGTTTCTGGACTGATTTTTAAGCCCCACACAAGAGGCCGAGACCGTGTCCGGCGCCACTTTTTGGAGGGTGTCCGGCGGCAGTTTTCTTTGGGGGGGGTGTGGAGAGGCCAAGGAGGGGCCCGGGGTGGCCTGGGGGGCCTGGGGCCTTGGGGCCCAGGGGGGCCCACAGGGGAGCCCAAAATGCTACAGTCCCCATGGCTGTGGAGAGGCGGGCAAGTGTATGGGGTCGCTCTGCGCCATCGAGGTCGAGGGGCTTAAGCGCCGCCCACCCATAGTAGGTGGGCGGCCTAGGCCTTGAGTTTAGGGTTTGGGGTTTAGGGTTTAGGGTTTAGGGGTTAGGGTTTAGGGTTTAGGGTTTAGGGTTCAGCTTCTCTGACTTTGGAAATTTCGAGTCAAGCTATTTCAAGCCAAAACCCCACCCGCCCATGGGTTCCCCTCACATTATGAAATAACAATCTTTATTTTATATTCGGATGGAATACGATTCTTCTTCGGAACTTTTGTCAATAATACTTTAACCTATTGTCTCGCTTATTGCGGCGTTAGGAAGGAAAACCTCTTGTAGAATTGTTTCGCTTATTGGGGCGTTCGGAATGGAAATCTCTTGCAGAATTGTTTCGC